TAAATAAGTTTTTTTCTTCCTGATTTGTAAAAATTCCCTACATGATAAAAAAGAAAATTATTATTTTTGAAATCTGCATAACTGAATTATGGAAAATCCGTTATTAAAAACAAAATAATTTTTATGAAGTTTAAATGTGCAGGCCTGTGTTATCAAGTCCTTAGTACTGTTGTCAATTATGTGACTGTACTTAGTATTTTTTTGAAGTATTTTTGTGACTTTCATAGATCTTAATTTGTTAGATGAGCTTATTATTGCAAGCTCAGTTGTACATAAGTATAGTTTTTTAATATTTTTGTGGCTTTCATTTTTTTAATTCATTAGTTAAGCTTATTATTGTGAGCTCAATTGTACTTAAGTATAGTTTTCAATAAGGTTTAATAATTCTACCTTTCAGCTATCCATTGATAAGGAGGATGCTTTTGGTTCCTTTTTGCTCGTTTACATTTTGGGCATTATTGAAATGTCTTAAACATTTAACTGTTAGGCATGTTAAGATAACATATCAAAGTTAATAAGAGCCATGTTTCTATCATAATCATATACATGGGTCAACAATAATTCTTGTTAGTTTTAGTGTATTTGTGTCACAGTTGAAATAACTGTTAATTTCACTCTTCCATAGTTTAAAATAAAGTACTAAGTTAGTTATATTCAGGTAATTTTTCCAAATAATCATTTAGGTATTTGGCACACAATTAGATATCCTTGTAAACCAGATGTTGAAAGATTTTAAACATGCTAATCATTTTCCTTAAGTAAAAATTACATACAGCCACTGTTTACATAAAAGTTTGTATGAGTTGTGGGTTCTCTCATTTGAATATTTCATGTGACGTAGGTAGTCTGTAGATTATGGGGTACTGCACTAGGACCCCTTTGTCCGACTTGAAAGTGTAGTATAAAATTATTCTTGCTCTCTTTGTCCTGTGTGAACATTGATTATTTTTCTTGTCCTCATCCTGTGCAAGTTTTCAAGCATCCAGTGAGAAGTCATAACAGAAAGCAAGAAGTTGTCTAGTTTGGTAACCAACACAAACATTAATGCAAGTAAATATTTT